CAAGTTAGAATTCTTAAGCACAAATCTGGATGAGTCAAACAGGACGAAAGAAAGAAATGTGACTGAGAAACCAGCCGAACAGTTTCCCCTACAAACGAAAACTAACTTCATGCGGAAGCAGCAATAAGAAAGCCTTATAGCCTCGGACTTTCGCAACGTGAGCGAGCAGTGAAAATGCGAGATTCGAGAGCTCATCGAATCTGAAACAAGGAAGCAATGCAACAATTAAAACAATTTTTGTAGCAGTTGACTCGAAATATATAGATATATACACATATAAGTGTACATATATGTATATGTATAAGAACATACACGTATGCATACATATGTACATATATGTATATGTACATAAATATATGTACATATATATGTATATACACAAATTTGTGTATATGATATTCTTTGTAGCCCTTCAATAAAAAACAAGTTGCTATGGACACACATACAAACAACCCCATGACAATATGCTTTTGTGCAGCTGTTACGCAGCACAAAACGCATAAATGGCCAACGCACGGGCTGCCCGTGCGAAGAAGCGCTTTTTGCACAGTTCCCCGCAGATTTCTGTCGCTAACGGCGCAACTTTTTCCGTCAGATGCTTCCAGCTAAAAGAATTTCAGGCTGGTCGCCAGGACTGTCAGGAGCTATCCCTTTAAAATACCAGTCTTCTAGCTTCTCAGGTTCCCGAGTTAGCAACTTACCCGAAAAAAAATTTCACGGGCCTGGACGTGAGTGCCACGCATACCCGGGGGCTAGGTTCGAGCCCATTAGTACCTACGTAGGTGGGGTTCATCCCATTAAAATTGCAGCCTTCTAACTTTCAGGCCCCGAGTTAACAACTTACTCAGAAAAAAAAAAATTTCACGCACCCGCACATGGATACTACGCGGGCAAGAGCGCTCATTTCGAGGATTGAGGCCCGCACGTGCATTTAGATTTAGTTCCCAAGGTTTCAGACCTGTAGCTTTTGCAGGTCTTGAGATGAAAAACCGTGACAGACGCACACACAGACACACAGACAACCGCTCGTCAATATGCGTTTTCTGCATTGCATGGATGCAAAAAAAGCATAAAAAGTCTGTACTGCATGGACGCTAGTAGGAAGTGCCGAGTTTATGATGTGCGCGTCGGGATCTGATTTCTTTTTTGATTAAACCCCACCAGTATGCAGGGCTGCCTTAGTACGCTGTCAGTGAATGGCTTCGTATCGAGTAGCGACTTCCTGCAATTTTATTAACCGGTCGTACTGGCAGCATTGATTTAATAGCAATATGAGAAAACAAACTAAGATACATGCTATTTGTATTAGCGCTTAAAAATCTCTGGGACGGAAATGTTCGATCTCTGCCTAGAGAGAAGAGCCCTGGAGCTGGCGGCGTTAGGCCTTGGGGGAGCAGAACAGTTGAGAGCTGCTACAGCGAACTGTGAGGCAGTCCGCGATAAGTAGCTTTTCGAGCATCAAACGTCGTATGCAAAGTCCCAAAACATATAAAATTAAAATGAACCTCATTTGTCCAACTTCGGGCCATTTTATATGAGCCAGTAGCTTGCTCATCATAGTTTCCAACGAGGAATCAAGCAAAGTAGGTTGCTCCTGGTACAAATCAAGCAGATGGCGGAATCTAAAACAACAGCGAAGTCGCGCTTCTAAGTATCATCATCTCTGTACAAGAACATCAATAAATAGCAAAGTGCACCAGACTAGCCGGTGCGATCATGCGTTTTGTGTGATTCCGTCCACCGAACGATTGCCTATTAATGATTTCCACTGCTTTACACTTTAGTCTGTGCAAAAATAGTTGAAGCGCTAAAAATTGTTAAAAATTTCACGCACAGGCGCATGTAAGCTGAACTTGAAAACTTGAAGAGTAAATATCCTTCCGCGATTCCAGCGATAACAGTTTACAAGCCAAAATTTTCACAGGCCGTAAGAGATACCCGAGAGTGCGGGAACGCTGAACTAGAATTTGCAAGATCGTTCGTGGGTAGGGAGTGATTACCTTAAAATTTCAGCTTTCTAGATTCTGTGGCTTCCGAGATAATAATTTACTCGCAAAAATTTTCACTGGCCCGTAGATGATATCCGAGAGCGCGGGAACGCTGAATCTGAATTTGCACGACCGCTCTTGGGCAGGGAGTCACAAACCTAAATTTTCAGCTTTCTAGACTTTATGGTTCCCGAGATAATAATTTACCCATCAGAAATTTTCACGGGGCTGCACATGTTATCCGCGCGCAAGGGAAAGCTAAATTTAAATTTTCTGGTTATCACATGGGCTGGGAACATGTCCACAAAGTTTCAGCCTTCTAGCTTCCGTGATAATAATTTTACCCGCCCAAACTTTTACGGGGCCGTACGTGGGAGCTAAATTTTAATTTGCAGGGTTGCACGTGGGAGGGCGGGGG